TAAAAAGTCCAACCCATCACTCCATGAATGACTTCCCTCAACAACATTTTTGACAAGCAGTCACCCAGCCTCTGTATGTACTTGTCCAAAATGGTGGCACGCACTACCTCATGAAGCAATTCATCCGATTCTGCAAGGCTAAGTTCTTTTTTGTGTTGAGTCAAGGTCTATTGCCCTGTAATTTCCCTCCATTACACCTAGTTTTCCTCTTTCGAGACGAGCAAAGTTAGTTAAATCTCTCAACAAATAGCAGCGCTTTAAATATGTGAAGAATATATTCCCCCTTACAAGTTTTCTCCAGGCTGAATACTATCAATTTCTTCAATGAATCTTTTGTTTTGGCTAGGCAATGGGGTTAAGTGACTTGCCCAGGGTCACACAGCTATTAAGTGTCAAGGGTCTGAGGCCACATTTGAACTCAGGTCCTCCTGACTCCAGGGCCAGTGCACTATCCATGTGCCACCTAGCTGGCCCCTCTTCAACCAATCTTAATGTAATATGGTTCTGAATCTTCTCACCATACTAGCTACCATTCTCTGGACACGTTCTTTGACAACGTCATTCGTTCCTGAAAATGTAGTACCCAAACTGAACACTGTAGTCCAAGATATAATCTGAGCTGAGACGTGCCCTGGGACAGGGATGAGAAGCTAAAAAGGAGGGCGACTTACCTAACATTACAACTTTTCACCTAATTATCGGTAGTTTCTCAAGAATTTCTGAAGCCTTCTGCTTTCTTATGTACATACTGTAAACTTAGAGGACCTTAACTTTTTGGTATGAAATCAATCAGTAAGAATGTGTTAATGGAAGGGCTGCATAAAAAAAGGCAGGATCTTTAAAGATGACAGAATAAACACACAGAGGCAGAGAAAAGAGAAGGGCTTAGCTTTGTCTTACCTATCATTCAAATTAAAACCCTAACAAAAATCACCAATAGGGAGGACAGAACTCTGGAATGAAAAAATTGAAGACTCAAATATCTGCCATGTTTCTTCAGAGGCTCTGGATGAACCTTTTTATAGCCAGGAACTTAGCAATTTTTTTTTATTTTGGGTTACCCCACGAAGTCCTTCTGTGACAATGTCTCAGAGATAAAAGCCTTGCAATGAAATATATTACCCTTAGGTTCCCCACATCACATTGGTGAAAAGATCAGGGAGTGATAGTCCCATTTCATGAGCATTTTACTACAAAGATGAAACTGACCTACATGTTCTGTTTATCACTTACGCATATCAACTTTTCTCTTGGGGCAAAGCACAAAAATTCTCAAGCCCTAAATCCTCAGAAAAAAATTCTCCTGATTATCTGCTAGAATGGGTCATCCTTGCTTACATTTTTTAAGTTTCTTACGGTGAGTGAGAGGTTGGTCTGTTCCTTCTAGTTCTAAGAAACTATGATTTATGATAAAGTATGTCATACTATTGACCTTTGCATTCTATAAGCTAATCTTATTATTTTTTTTTAAGGAAGTAGAAATTAAATGTAAAAACCAATGCTAATACAAGGTTAAGAAATTTAGCCTTACCGAAGGCTGAAAAATGCATGTCAAGAAAAGAGTTACCATAGCAACAGAGATTCAAAGACACTGCACTTATGCGCTGCATTAATACCATAGATTTATACAAAACAGTTTATGCCATGTAATAATGGGGCAAATCTCAAGAAATCAAATTTTGGAAGGATGGGTTTAAATGCTCATTTTTATAGGGGAATTTCATGATTTGTACCAGTAATAGTAATCTAATAAATAAAAACACTGTTTCATGAAAAGTGGAAAAAAATCTTAGATTGGCCATTAGGAAACCTAAGTTCTACCCAATCTCAGTTCTGTCACTAACTAGCAATGCAAGCCACTCACCTTTCTGGGGGTCAATTTCCTTCTTTGAAAAATAAGAGGTGTGGGCCAGACGATCTTTAAAGTCTGCTTATGAGGGTTAAAGGGAACTTAATTTGCCCTTGTATTCAAATCTAGGTATTAACATAGTAACTGGTATGCCACTTGTTATGCCTTTCATACTACACACTAGCCAGGAAATGCTCAACTCCGATAGTTTATTATTTCTGGTGAACTGGGGAAAAAAAAGTTTATCCTAAAAAATTAAAAGTGCATCAAAAAAACCCTACTGCATCTCACTGTAGGAATTAGGTAGAAGTGAGAATGAATTAGGCAGCAATATATGAAGCTGGATACATATAATTGTGCACGAATTGTGCACAAAAGCTGCACAGCATTTTACAACGTTGCTGTCCAATATGTATACTCACTATGAAGTCCTGAGACTGATTTCTGAGTGTGGCTTATGAATTTGAAGTTATATTGTATGTACATTATACTGTATGCAATAGGTTCAGCTTAGTATCTTTATTTTATTTTATTTATTTTGGTGAGGCAATGGGGTGAAGTGACTTGTCCAGGGTCATACATCTAGTAAGTGCTATGTGTCTGAGGCCACATTTGAACTCAGGTCTTCCTGAATCCAGGGCTAGTGCTCTATCCACTGTGCCACCTAGCTGCCCCCAGCTTAGTATCTTTGAACGCTTTTATCTTTTAATCTTTAACCATTAACGTTTATATAGTGTTTACTATGTGCCAGGCACTGTGCTAAGTGCTTGAAGATAATTATCTCATTTGATCCCCACAACAACCTAAGAGTACATAAGTGCTATTTCTATTCCTACTTAACATTTGAGGAAACTGAGGCAAACAGAGGTTAAGTGACTTCTCCAGGTTCACACAGATAATGAGTACCTGAGGCAGGGTTTGAACTCAGGTTTTCCTGATTCTAAGCCCAGCTCTCTCTCCACTGCTTTATGACTCTAGGCTGGAATTTTCAGCCTTAATAACTTGTGAAAAGTTCTTTAAAGGAAATAAACATACCCAAATATCTGAGAATTTTATCAGAAAGTCCATAAGAAAACTCATGAGCTTATTTTAAAAATCTGCTATATATAATTAAATTGATGTAATTCAAAGTTTAATTTTTGTAAAGGCTCACTTTGGCATCCTATAAAGGAAAATTTATATTTATCATAGTGCTTCCACATTTCACTAACGCAATAACAGAAGCTTCACATAATGATCCTGAGGCACCACTGTTAAGAGACGGTAGTGGCCTTCTGAATCATCGAAGATGACTGGGAATTGAAAGCAGTTTTACATCAGATTGACTTTTTGACTTGACCCGATTTCATTACTGTCGGAAGCTCCTGATGAGGAATTTGTCCTAACCAATGCAGACCAGCACCTACTCTCTGGTGCTGTCTGGGAAGCAGCACTAATCCAGGCTGCTTCTTAAACTTATTTCCTAATTCTGTGAAAACTGATCATTTAAATAAAATCCTAAATACTCCTATTCATCAGACTATTCCATTCCATAATCACACTGGCTATCCACGTTTACTGTGTGCTATACACTGTAATCTGCAATCATTTTAAAATTAATTTGAACCCTATCTACAACTATCTTTGTTCAAATAGCACTCCAAACTAGCTTTGTAAATGTATTATTTCAAAACGGGAATAAGTTAGATACTGCAGTCTTACTCCTATAAAACAGAAAAAATATTTAAATACAAAAAAATCTTCTGGTCTTCCAAAGCATGATCAAAGATGGCATTGATCACTTTTAGAAAAAGAGCTCATCTCCAAAAGAAAGAGTAGAACAATTAATATTTTGTAATGTGGCTACAGTGTTGTACTTCTGTCTAACTTACATAAGAGTTAACAGGAGCTCAGCTACTTGGATTCTGAATTCTAATCATTTCTAAATCTACATGTGTATAACAATCTTTTACAAATACAGTTTCAAGATCTATTACTCGGTAAATTTAAAACTCATTTGTCAATATATTTCTCCTAATCTTTTTATAAGTTTTTTAAGGGTGCCTAGCTGATATGTGCACATTCTTTTTCATCCCTGGAATAAGCCATTCATGGCTCTCAAAATCATCCTAAAGTCTGGGAAAGTTACTTTTAAACCTTTTTTCCCCTCCCTTTTCTACACATGATTTTCCCATACCCAAAAGTGAACTAGAACAGTAGGAAAGTAATTATAGGAGTTCTAGCAACTGAAGTTATAGGTCTGCTCACCTCTGGCCTAAATTTTCACTTACTATTAGAAAGTAGGTTGACTTGCATAGTATTTATACAATGTGTACAATATGCTAACTAATTAGAAAAGTTCTGCTTTGCTCTGCTCCTCTTGACTACTCTGAGCCAAAAATAGCTACCTTTAAAACTGGAATAATAGATGAGACAGAAGACCCTGCTGCCAGACTTTCTGATACAACATCTTACTCAGTTAATTAACCAACCATACTCAACCTCTAAGCAAGGGCAGAAGGTTCTGGTTTTTCCCTATCAATTTGCCATAGTATGGATTTTTTAAACTCTTAAATCTGAAAAGCATTTCCTCCCTCCTCTAATCTCCCCAGAACATTTCGCTCTTGCCTGACAGTAACACTCTCTATACTTTGCATACTGATCTGAAGCTCTTTGAGGTTGGGAACCACCATTTTTCATCTTTTTACACCTAGAACCAAACACTACGGCCTCAGAGCATGGAAGGTGTTTAATAAATGTCTGAACGAGAGAAAAACAATTTTCTTTTGTTTTGAGGTTTTACCGAAATTCTGAATGTATGTGACACAGCTAAGGCTGTCCCCCTTGATTACACACAAAATAGTATCACACTAGCTAGCTCTTACCCTCAACTCAATTGGTACCAATTTTCTTATGCCTTGACTACGTATGCAAAGTGATAAATTTTGCCCTTGAATTAGTTTTGTAAAACCTGCATATATAACTACTAGATATCTTCTCCGAACCAGCCTCTTTTTTCAATTACATATGCAACAAGAAACACTGGTGAACCTGTATTCTTTTATATTCTCCTAACAAATTATAGGCCCTGGGTAAAATCTTGGTAGTATGAATTGTATACTGTGAAATGTGAAAGTAACAAACATATAAATACAAACAAAAAGCTATTTACATTTTCGCCTCTTAGTCGCCATCTTGTCATATAGATGAATTCCATAGTGTGGTCCTTCCCCATAATTTCACCATTGCATAGTACATCCAGCTTAAAAAAAAAAAAGTAACACATCCATTAACATTTTATTTTGAATATATCATTAACAATGACTCCCCATTTTCAGAGAAAAAAATAACTGTAAGACTCTTGGAAATATCCAATAAACACATTCAAGTCTATACTATGATATTATTATCTCAGATAAATAGAAGCTATGTCAAGTTACTGTATAGTATAGTTGTTTATCTGGCCCTCCTGTATTTGGATCTTAAGTTTATTTATTCACAGTATTTGGCCATACAACTTACCTTTATAATTTCCTTTTGTCATGAAATCTTAGTGCTGTCTCTAGCATCTTTTTGTGATTAATCTTTAATTAGCACAAACAGGTACCTCTGGTGATTTCTAGGTTTATCACTTAGGTCTCTTTAGCTACCTAACCTTTGATAGGACATTTATTTCTCATAAGTTTTGATCTGGAAAAAGTATACAGAAATCTAATGTTCTGTGGAATTTTAGAGATTTCTGGTAAAATTCTAGAATTATCCCTAGATAAATTAACATAAGTAGTTGAGTCATACCACAATCTTACTTAAACTCATCTTACACTTCAGTGTCCTCATTTACTACATAAAGGGACTACAGCCAGGGGTCGAGGCAGCAGGCTCCCAACCCACTACAAGATACGATCCAAAGATATTGTCTAGTTCTATCTATAGTTCTAGACTCATCAGGAACCCAAGTCCCTTCTACTCAACTCACAGCAGGGCTAGTCAACGAGAGGGTCCACTGTACCAGACCAGAAGTAAAAGGAAAGAGGAAGAAGAGGTAACGTCCCGTCTGCTATCAACATGATCTCTCTTGGGCTATGGATCATTAGGGGCTCCTCTTCTCTCTAGTCTCTGGCCCCAGGAGAGATCTGAAGCACTCAAGGTGAAAGGAAAGAAAAACACAGAACCCACTGCTGCCTTTAATTACCCCTTTGCATCACCCCTCCCACATCATCCCTTTTTCTTCATCCACTGAAGTATTTGTCTGAAATCTTCACTTTACTCCTTTTCACTACTTCTTACCTTACCCTTTATCTTATTTTCTCTACCTGCTCAATCACCACTGTTCCTCTGAGTTGGAAAAACCACTGTTTTCCTATGAAAGAAGCTCAACCTAAGTGTCTTCCTTACACTCTAAGAGCCAGGAGCCAGTGACTTGGGGTTGTGTGAATGTCAAGTTCCATTGTTCACTGGGTGGGGTTATGCAAAAGGGAGTTAATGATTCCACTGCTAGGGTATTGGGATTTAGAGATGTGGTTCCTGGCATACCAAGACAGAATTCCCAACATTCTGCCATACCTGGTACCTGAGTTTCACAGCTGTATATTAATACAGTATTTAAAATTTAGGTACATTATGGGTCAAAGGTTTTTGTGGGGGTTCCTGGCAAACCTAGGAAAGGTTTTCTAATCACCATGAAGAAATGTTTTCATGAGGTAGTAGATTCCAAAGAATCAATTTACCAACCTATTTTTTAGAAAATAATCAATTTCTATTCTGAAAATCATCTGTACTCATTTAAAATTTAAGATTCTGCATGTTTATTTTAATAGCTTTTTAAAATTAAAAAAAATCATCTTTCTAGGATCTTGTTTTCTAACAAATGGCCCAAATTTTAAACTACACATCCAAAAATATAATTTATCTACCTCCTTATCCTTGAAGAGGTAAATAAACTTTGACGTAAAGTTCAAGCCACAGCATGAAATCACAGCGTGTTTTGAATACATTCAGCATTTTTCAGAAGCTGAGGGAATTGGGCACCGTAGGGATCAATAAAAAACAATGGCACTTGTTCAAACAAGTGAAGAAAAAAGTTGTGGACGAAGCACCTGAAGGTACAGTAACATTGTCACCAAAATCTGGTTACATTATCTCCCCACCAGTTTCTCAAAATCCCCTCACCGTCCTTCCCCTAAAACATCAAGCATATTTTCTAAGCCTTTTGACTAAAGTCACATTATAATCAAGTATGGTAAAATCCTCCTTTATTTGAAAGGCCTAAGGAAAATCAAATTAAAACTACATAGTTTGAGATTTTTAATAAAAAGTGCTGTATTACCACACATAGTGACTACAGAAGTGCTGATCCTTTAAGAAATCCCTGGGATACATAGATATCTATTGCAAAGACAACATATATTTAGAGTTGGCAAAAAAACCCGCAAAAATATTAGGACTGCTGTAAACCTTGGATCCGTGATTTCATTTCTCTGGGACAGTTTCCTCATGTACATGAGGGGACTGAGCATTAGACGATCTGAGGTCCTTTTTATCTCTAAGTTCTATGATACTAAAACAGGATAAAATTAATGCTTTCTTTGATACTAATGAATAGGTCTGAAAGGTTAGGAATGCTTTCTGCAAGTTACTTTTGGATGGCAGCAACAAGGTATGAGGCTCTAGATCTGAGCCAAGATACTGAGATTGAGAAACTGCCCCTTGGATCAGTTTCCTATAGAACAACCTAGAGTAAGAGAGGCAAGGTCAACTCAGAGGTGAGTGTTTCCTCTCTGCTTGGAGTTTCGTGACAATCCTAATCAGAATCATCTCAAAATCGATTCTATTAGAGAAGGGATGGAGAACCTGCGGCCTTGAGGTCACACATGCCCTTCTAGGTCCTTGGGTGTGGCCTTTTGACTGAGTCCAAGTTTTACAGAACAAATCCTTTTATTAAGGGGGTTTGTTCTGTGAAGTTTGGATTCAGTCAAAGAGCTGCACTTGAAGACCTAAAGGGTCCTCTGTTAAAAGTTTTTTACAATATTTCTCCATATCTGGAAGTTAGGAAAGCTTCCCCTTTTCTTACTGCAGAGGAAAAGAGGGGTTTGAGAATATTACAGATCACAAAAAGTCTAGGGACGTGTCCCCCAAAAAAACTTCAATCTATTTTTGGAATAAAATTGAAATCCAGATTCCCAAAACCAAAGTTCAGAACAGAAATTCATTTACTTTGCAACTAACAAAGGCAAAAGGGAAACTGTGTAAAATGTGTGATAACCTACAACAGTTAAACTAAGTTATTTATCTGAAGACCATTTAAGATTAAATCTACTAAAAACTATTCTTTTATTCACCAAACACCAACAAAGTTTTCTCAAAGTTCCAGTGTGACCATACTAGGAAATATACAAACAGAATTCAGTATTCTCTAAAATTATCCTACTCAACTAGGGGGGAAAAAAACCCAGAAAAATAATAAAATGTTGAAAATTTAAAATATGTTACCAAATTTTATCTTTAATTATAATTTTAGTTTAAATCAGATTAATGATATACACAAAACGTCATAAGACATGACTTTTCAACTTACCTCATAAGAACTTGGAAGCTTTAGCTTTAAACTTAGAAATTTTTTAATAGTTCCCACAGTCACACGTGTAGAACATCGGATAAATTTCTTCATTAAACCCTGATAGAAATAAATTACACAATTAGTCAAAACACACTACCTTACTTGTGTTAAAGTAATTATACTGCTTAAAGGAAGGCTAGTTCCATATTTATTGGTAATCATTTAAGAATTAATTTTGTACTTCTCTTAATTTTGAACTTTTTTTAAGGTAGCTCTTCAGTACTTGGAAGCTGCTTCCCTTACTAATGCCTTTTTCTCAGTTTACATTTCACAATACGATTTCCCAAGAGTATACTTTTTTAGTTAGGAAAATCATTACAAATGGAAATGGAAACTGAATGTTCAGACATTCTGTTAAAGAAGTCACTCTATATTTGAGGGAAGATAGCTAAAAAGCTCCCAGAGACTACCAAAGAAAATTGTCAAATCCATCATTCTCCAAGAATCAAGAACATCTTATGAGAAGGTTATCTCATTTATCCCTGTAATACGATATGATACCAAAATAAGAAAGAAGCTTCAAGGACCGTATGGGGTCTGGGAGTCAATTATTGTGAAGTTATAAACAACCAACCAACTCTCTACCTTTTCTCTCATCAGTAACTTATTACTATTATAAATCTGGAAGTTAATGACAACTGAGAATTGGTCCTTATATATAATACTCACACTGTAAAATGAATGATAAAATAATTTTTTGACCTACTCTTTTTTCAACTTAAAACTGGTCTGCTCCTCTCATTCTCAGGCTAATTGAGGGCCCTCAATTTCTGCAGGCAAGTCACACTAATGTCAAAGTTATGACATTACTAGAATACGGAAACTTAACATGAATGAGGTACTGTAGGTCAAAACAAGAAATCTTTCAGTCTCTTAAGTGGGTCAGTCTACAGTATGCCATCATCCCTGCATTTATTTTGTCCACTAAAGCTCTACTGTGCTACTTCACAGAGGCATGGAGGTGACACTCAATGCAATGCTAATAGAGGGCAGGTTCTGTCAGGGCTTAACAAGCTGGAAAATCTTAAGTCATGGACCTAGTGATAGTCTGTGTCTCTGTCATCTGAGGGCCAGACTAACTAGGTTCAAAAAGGCTTACGAGTTGGTCACTAAGTAGTTAATTTTTTTCCATTATATAACTCATTAAGATTGTCTACAAAGGCATGGAGGATGTGCAATCTATATTGGTGGAGAAAGTACTTTCCCACAAATCACTGTGTTTACACACATGCTAAGAAACTGACCAGGAAGTAACTGAGGTGACAGTTTCACCAATTTTGTAAAGGATAACTACACAAAGGTGTCAATCAGCAAGCATTTACTATAAAACAACAACAACAACAACATCTTGGGATGTATTTTGCTATAAATATTCCGCTAAAATGAGTTTTAAAGAGTTGTATTTGTTTTCAAATAAAAAGAGATCCAGTACAACTGACATTACAGAGAAGGTCACACAGACAGTAAGCAACGGAGATGGGGATTTGAATCCATGTTCTCTGACTCCACAGAGAATCAGAGTTAATGGAGGGGAAAAACAGAATTCTCTATCTACTTTGTTCTAAGACCCAAGACCAACGTGTGCCTGGGTCCAGGCTAACCCTGATTCCAGGACAGGCCCAGCACCAGTGACCCAATTCTTCCTCTGCCAAAGAGCCCTGATCCTGGACCTAGGTTGTGCTGTAACCTTTCCTCCCTCCACACTACTCCTGTTCCAGGATCAGTGCTCTTCTGCTTCCGAACAGCAGGTCCTAGACCAAACTCCTGACCCAGCTACCTCATGGTCCCAGGCCATGTCCAGTATTTGAACTTCACTCACGAGTTCCTTTACAGCTAAGGCTGTGCATCTGCATAGGCAAGGCCAGGACCCAGAAAATAACCCATAACCCTACAGATTTCAAACAGAACAGAATGCTGGCCACATGTTGACTCGAAAACACAAATTAACATGAACTATGTTTTACTGTACTCTCAAGGACAGGAAAAGCCTTCCTCCATGGCTGGGTCCTCAGCCAGGAACTGAGTGCTGTTAATGGTTCAGTTAACCTGTTCACACCTCAGAGCTTAGCTTAACACTCCCTAAACACTCTGGAGCCCATACCCTCCACAAAAGCAAATTTTGCCAGGGGAGGAGGAAGAACTAACAATTTTAGGTCTGTTATAAACATCTCTAACAAAAAGAGAATCGGATTGATGATAAATAAGAAGGCTAAATATAAGAGCATCATAGTAAAGCCAATAAAGATTGAGCAAAAGAAAAAGAAAGGGAAAAAAGCCAAGCAAACATGCAAGAAAGGGAGCCAAGACACTTAACACATTCTCTGGAGGAAGAAAACCCTTTTAGAAAGTCTTGAAAGGTAAACTTCTAGAATATATTCTTCCAGAAAACAGAACATAGTAGCTGTAAGAATCTTCAGAATGGCTAAAAAGAACAACAGCAGAATTAAGAGATATAAAGGTAGAAAACAGTATTGAAGGTAGAACTCTCCAAGAAATTAGTAAGACAAACAGGAGAGGAGGGCATTTAGAACACATAACAGAAAAATCTTCAAAACTGTGGATGGTAGGAAAAATAAAATGACAGATTTAGGACACAAAAACAAAGAGGAAGAAGAAAAACTCAACAAAATTAAAAAAATGATGAGACTGAGAAAATACATAAAGATAAGGTAACTGAGATGGAAGGTAGAATGTCAACGATATAAAAATTATCTTTCAGAGGAACAGGATGAAATAAAAGGCTTGAATAGTATGCTTTAGTGAATAGTTCAGGGAATACCCAGTATTCACTTCTCTTAAAAATCATGTGGCTTTTGGGATGGAGGATTAGACATTTTCCCCAATTCTTGCTTCTCAAACCTCTCCAAAGTAGGAATTATGTGAAAAACATAAAGCAGTTCTGCCGTCTCCATAGCTGAAGACACTAAGAATCTTAACGAGGAAACAACCTGTCGAACTTACATCAGAGAAGTACGATTCCTAATCTCTACAGGGCTTATTAAGCATTCTCTAAACTGAACTATGTCTCTCTCCACCCGAATGCTCTGCCTGAACTGCAGTGTGGCAGCGAAGCCAGCCAGAGAAGTGAGGAGCTGAGGGACCTGCAGCGTCTGTAGGAGGCTCCGTCAGGTAAGAAGGAAAAAAAGACGGGTATCTAGGTAGTGGCCAGTTCTGTCCCCGCAGAAGTTACTTGGAGTAGAGATGGAAGCTGGCAAAAAGTGAACTTCTCAGCGTGGGAATAGTCTGAGCTAGCTTTGAAGTCTAATCTCTAGGAAAACCACCATCACAGGGGAAGGAGTGAGAAAGCAAGCATGCAGTATTAGAATATAAGGGAAAAAAGACTAAAACTGATGAGGCAGAGCTCCCTGTAGATTCTCAAGAGAGCATGGAGCCATAGCAGGATGTTCCTAAATAGGTCAAGCAGGAAATAAAAATCTCAAAAGCTGAAATGATGGGCTATACAACAGAAATAACTGGAAGGTTAGAAAAACTTAATTCCACAATGTAAATCTTACTGAAAAACAAAAGAGAGAACAGCTGATTAGAAGTGCAAATACAATGTAACTGGGAAAAAATAAATTATTAAATAAAACAAAAGAAATATAAGTACAGAGACATGAAGGACAATGTGAAAAAAGCAAAAAGCAGTTTCATTAAAAGAAAACATGATTTCTATAAAAGTAAAACAACCACCTAGAACACAGGATGCATAGAGATAACTTAAGGATTAAAGGTCTAAAAGAACATGACCAGTTAAAAAACCTGAATACCATAAATGCAAGAAATAATGAAAGAAAACTAGCTAGAGCTTCTAAGCACAGAAAACAAAATGCTAACTGGAAAAATCCACAGACTGCATCCAGGAAAAAAGTCCTACATTGCTAACTCCAAAATGCACATGTTAAATTTAACAAACAACAATATTTTACAAGTGACCAGAAGGTAGACATTCAAATATTAAGGAAATTCAAGTAACACAACATTATTCTGCACCCACCAGAAACTCAAGAAGGGGCAAGAATAATGGGTTCTTAAGAGCAAAGAAACTCAAGATGCATTACCCTACAAAACTGTGCTTAACCATCAATGAAACATGACGGACATTCAAAATTCATTTGCCAAATGCTTATCATGTGTCCAGCACTGCCCTACTAATGGAGACAGAAGGCAAAACATCGATCAAGATGACTGCTCCTCTTTATTGTGCTCTGCTAGTTCATCCATCTCCCACCTCGCATGAATTGGTATCCAAGGTTCTGCCTTGAGCGCCTCCTCTTTCTACACTCTCTTCCTTGGTAATCAAATCAGCTCGACTCTGGTCTCTACGCAAGTGACTCTCAAATCTTTATCTCACCTTTAATCTTTTCCCTCAGTTCAAGTCGGCACTGCCAACTGCCTTGAAGAGACGTCCATTTAGCTATCCCACCATCATCTCAACTAAACTGTTTAAATGGAACTTTTCTTCCCCTCAAGATTAGCCTTCCTTCAAACTTCCCTGTCTCTGTTGAGGCTACCACCACCCCAGGTTCAAAAACTCAAAATGATCCTTGACTCTTCCCTTTCCTCCAGCCTATATCCAACCAGTTGTTAAGTTTTGGCAATTCTACAACTATCACATCTTTCACATCTATTACCATCTCTCCACTTAAATGGTTTACTATCCTATACTTCATTAACTCTGATTCGGATTACTAACAGCCTCTTAATTCATCTCCCTGCTTCTAGGCTCTCCTTTCTCCAATCCATTCCCCTACATAGCTGCCAAAAATAATCTTCCTATGGCACAAGACATCTTTCTGTTTAAAAATCATCAGCGGCTTTCTATTTCTTCTAGGATAAAATACAAACTATTCAGCTTGAAATTTAAAGACTTCCACAGTCTAATCTGGCTCTGACTTTCCAAACATGAAACATTTCATGTTTTTATATTTGAGTCCAACTGGACTATTAAACGTTCTTGAATGTTAGTACCCCATCTTTTACCTCCATGCCTTCAAATAGGCTATCTCTTTAAATGTATTTTCCCTAGAAGGCTCATTTCAGGTATGCCTTCTACA